TAAGTTGATTTTACAATTAATTTATTATTTTTTAATGTTTTTTTAAAATTAATTTAATTTTATTCTATTTAAATTAAAATTACAAGAAGTACATTGCTATTAAGTTAGTTTTCTAATTAATATAATTTGATTTTACAAATGTAACTTAATTTGATTCTAAAAGTAAATTAATTAGATTTTATAATTAATTTAATATTTTCTTTTTTGTTATTAGTTTAATTTATTTATTAAACTAATTTTATTTTATTTTAATATTAACATTAACTTGATTTTAAAACTACTTTAAGTTGATTTTACAATTAATTTATTATTTTTTAATGTTTTTTTTTAAATTAATTTAATTTTATTCTATTTAAATTAAAATCACAAGAAGTACGTTGCTATTAAGTTAGTTTTATAATTAATATAATTAAAGCTAAAGTTGTAATGACCAACATTAAGTCACTAAAAGTATGTTCCTATTAAGTTGGCCAAACATTAAGTCACTAATAAATTAAATACTTTGAAACCATATACAATACATTACTAGAAGTAAGTTGCTATTAATAACCTAATTAAGCCAAATGTATATATCCAATTTGCATATTTCAATTTCATCCAATTTCATACAATTAAGTCAAATGTATATATCCAATTTCATACAATTTGCATATTCCAATTTAATCCAATTTGCACATTCCAATTTCATACACTTAAGTCAAATGTATACATCTAATTTGCCATATCATATTTTTATCCAATTTCATACAAATATAAACATCTAACTTTCATTTTAAGGCAATGTGGTATAAACATAAATTTCAATCCAACAAATGTATATATTCATGTCATTTTTTTATACATCAATCTAATCTAAACATAAATATCAAAATATACACAAAATGCATAATTAAATTCCTACAAATCTGAAAAAAAAAACACACACAAACCAACAAAATATTTCAACAAAATATATACAATCAAACAAAATTATCCAATAAAATGCATAATTAACCACTTCATATCTCAAAATACAAACATAATCACTCAATATAATTGAAAAATGTTCACATTTTATCATCTTAAGTAACACAAAAACAGAAAAATCATAGAAAAAGATGAGAAATTCGACCTTGGGGAAGGAGGGGCAATTTCGGAATTTGCAAAAATATCACCGGTTTATGGCTGTCTTGGGGGAATGAGGGGCAAGCACCGGTCCAAGAAGCAATTCCAACTCCACAAACTTGTTAAAAAAGCGTGATATTGAAGAAAGAAGAAGAGGAGAACGAGAGAAGTGGAAGTAGAGAAGAAAATGGCAGAAAGGGAACCTGTGAAGGGGGTAATCTGCGTTAGGTATTAGCGGCGACGGGTATTAGCGGCGACGTTAGGGCAACAGCGGCGACATAAGGGCATTAGCGGCGACATGTGGAGGGGAAAAATAAGGCGCGTCTCCGCTTTGCTCTACAGCCGTTAGATCAAAGTGAAATCTGACGGATGGGGTCAAAACGACGCGGATCGCTAAATGAACGCATTAGCGGCGACGCATAGCAATAGCGGCGACACGTAACGCGTCATTTACGTGTCGCCGCTATTGCTATGCGTCGCCGCTATAGGCGTCGCCGCTAATGCGTTTATTTCTTGTAGTGTGATATTTCTTAGGTATAGAGGTCAAACAAAATCTAAACATGGTTTTGTTTCTCAACAAGAGTATGTTAAGGATCTTTCCGTAAAAGTTCAATGGGAGAATGTATGTCGTTGTCTGCTCATGGAATAAAAGCTAAAATTTTCAAAGGGAGTTCAAGAAATGAGCTTAAACGCTTGTTTGTTCCGTAGCTTAGTCGGTAGCTTGATGTAAGGTACAAGGAGCATAGAAAAGAATCATGAAGTATGTTGAAGGGACACTTGATCACATTATCATTTATGGAAAGTCTACAAAGGCGGGACTTGTTAGCTTAAACTGATAGACTTTGGAGAGGATATATGATAAAAATAGCACCTCATCCGGTTTTGCTTTCAGTCTTGATTCTAGAGTTGTGTTTTGGCAATCCAAGAAACAGAGCGTAGTTGCCTTATAATCCTCGAGGTTGAGTGCATATCTCTCTAGTGTTTGTTAGCAGACTCTATGGATATAGGAGTCGTGTTGAAGGAATTAAGTCAATATCTATGATTTTCTGGATAAGAAATTAACTATTGCTCTGACGTCAAAGAATCATGTTTACCATGGAAAGAGCAAACACATCAGAATCTAATACTATTTCATTCGTGAGCATGTTGATAACTATGAAATTCAGATTGATCATTGTAGCACCATGGAGTAATAGGAAAATATATTCACTAAAGCCCCTACATGTATGTTAGGAATGGATTGTATCTAGCTTAAGGGCCGGAGAGTATTCGAAGTAAGCTAGAGAGTTAGTTGGTTAACGTAACGGTTACAGTGACAATTATTAATACGAGTATCAATTTTCCGTTACGCATGAATGGTTGTGATGGTTCAAACATTGTATATAAGTAGTAATTTACTATGTATGTTTGTAAATAATGTTATTATCATGTATAAATATAAACAGGCTCATGTATCTGTTTGATATGTTAAACTTCTTCAATTCTCTTCGAACAAGCACGATGATCGATGAGGTTAATGCTGGAAGGAACAAGTGAACAACCAAGATCTATCACTAATTAGTATATATACTCGATATAGCAATGTCAAGGGTTATATCCAAGTTAAGTTTCCTTATAAACAAAATCATACTTAAAATGATCATCCTATCCACTTAATTTACACATAATATTTACAACAAGAGCTTATATATGCCACATATTTGGCTCCAGCCATTAACACACAAAAGTAAAGACATATGAAAGAAAAACACAAAAATATATATCATGTACGTAGGAGGGGGTATAACTCTTCACAGCACAAGGGAGAATCCAATCCTCAAAGCCTAGAGTTTTGGTGGGATTAGTTTTCTTGATCCTTGGAATCCAGGAGATTTGGATGGATCAGATGCATGGACGAAAAACTTCATGCCCTTCTTACAATGGTCTGGGGCACCGCAAATAAACCAGGTGTCTGGGGCATCTAGGGTCACAATATCGTATCCATTACTGAGACCTTCATCAGCATTAGGAGGGATACATTCCTTAAAGGAAGTTTCATCGATCGCTTGAAAGACACTATGCTTTCCGGCTGGATACTTGAAGACTGCATGCATACACAATATTGTTTAACCGGTTAGCTAGCTAGTTGCTTCAAGACATACGATGCTTATAGTTATGACATTATATATAGCTAGAGTATAATGAGCATACGAAGTTGATCTCCGATATTGAATTTCTTTCCATTCGCCCAAGCTTGATAATCCACATTCAGGGTCCAGCCTTTATCATCTCCAACAACATACAACTTGCCCGGGGGAGCAGGCTCATTAGCAGCCAATACCGTGATGTAAAACTTCATAGAACCTTCCTCACAGCACCATTTTCCTGTTAAACAAATGCGTAGTTTAGTTTTTTTTTTTTTTTTTTTTTTTTTTTTTTTTTTTTTTTTTTTTTTTATAGAGGTCAAAGAGATATCAATGTTCGTCCTACGCCATAATTAAACCCTTAAGGGGTTTACCATTTTTTTTATATATGTACACTACAGTTAAGATGTAATTAATCAAGTTAGGTTTCAAAAACAAAACAAAAACAAAAAGAGACCTTCATCGTTTTTTGCTTTGCAGATGAAAAATTTATTTCCAGGGGTTTCTAGGGTTATCACATCGTGTCCACTCGTGAGTCCTTTTTGTTTACTAGACGCATAACAATCTTCCCAGCCCGCATCACCAACTTCAAATACATTGTATTTTCCAACAGGATAATTGAAAACTACATCAAGAGAAAAAGAATTTTCAGAAACACTTCTTATGAATAGATAGAGAAATAACTGATGCATTAATTGATTTATATAAGATGCCAGACACATACCAAGTTTGTCGCCAACATAGACATGCTGCTGGAATGCCCATGTTTGATAATCAAACCCGAAAACCCAACCTTTGTCACCACCAACGATGTGCTCAGTGGCTGAAGCGGCCGGAATAACTAAAGCTGCTACGGTTGCTATGAAGATGATGATCGTTGGCTTGTTAATAGCCATTTTTACACACACAATATATGAAATTCTAATTACTTTTTTATATCTGAATTGCAAATGGATCGATATGCCTATTTACGTAAAAACTTTGAAGACAAGTGAGTTTTTAATGAGTTTTGGATGGCTTGGCGCCAAATAGTTTTTGCATGAAACGGTTTAAGATGATGTTATGAACTTGGACCGCCAATATAGAAAGAAGAGGCATGCATTAAATTTCTTTCAACCACGAGAACTAATGAAGACCGTATTTTGTTGCCTAATGACTCGTTCAAGTATTCCATATTTGGACAAACCATCTCTTTTATTAGTAAATTTAATTATCTAATTATTTGGTTAAAAAAACTCAACTTAAATAAATAAAAGATAATTATATTGATTATGTTGGGCTTTTTCTATTATTATTGTTAGTCTTTTGTGAAACGGCATGTTTGTTTTATAATTCTAGTTCCACAACGAGAGTATTCTCGTTGCTTCTTTTATCAAAGGGACTAATATTTTCATCCTGTTATTTTATCAAATGGGATAACAATTAGCAAGATAAGGCTGTCCATGATACTTTGATGGGTTTGGGTATATTTTAGATTTAATCAAGGTTGCAGAAATCGTTCGACGGTAGTTTGGCGGTCGATTGGGGTTAAGGGATTAATCAGTCTCGACGGGGATTAATCGAGTATTAATCGGGGATCATTAATTATTAATAACAAGTTAATATAAAATAAGCAAATAACCATACAAAAGTCATAAAATAAGTAAATAACCATACAAAAAGTCATAACTAGTATTTAAACATTTAAGTCATAATCCATCATATTACAAGTCTAAAATAAGTTTAATAATAATAAAAACACACATTTTCATACATTTAAATGTTCATATTCTTCTAATCTTCAAGTTCTTCCACTATTTTAACTCCATTCGACTCATATTCATCTTCTTCAAACACTTGCTCATCATTCTCGGATTCGAAATCTTCATTGTAAAGTTTTGTCGTTGTTGAACTTTTACGGGGTACTTGATTATTGTTGGTCTTGAGAGCTTCATCAATCTTTTCCATAACTGGTTCGGGGTCAACTTCATCTCCATCACCGTCATCTTCGTCTACAATCCATTCTTGAGCCGAGTGAGAATCATTTGCTAAAAGCACTTCCAAAGTCCTATCTTTTCTCTTTTTGTTTTTTCCATTAGATTAGCATTGAATTGAACATAAACAAGATTGTTCAATCTATTTGTCTCCAATCTATTTCGTTTCTTCGTATGTACCTAAAAAAGTACACATAACAAAAGGTTAAAAACATTATTGATATTTAAAGATTACAACTTTATAACTAACCACTTCAAACGTGCTCCAATTTCTTTCACAACCTGATGAGCTACTAGTTAAAGAAAGAATCCTCATTGCAATCTTTTTCAAATGACGAGTTGAGCCGCCAAAGAGTCCCCACCATCTTGCTATAATATTAAAGAAAAAAAACATTATTAAATTGATAGATATAAAATTTTATTATTTTATAAATTACTAAAAGAAACATAAAGCATATTACCCGGATCAAAGTCGGCATTATTCACCATACAACCTTTAATTGCGAGCTCCAAATCTACCAATTTTTCCTTGTATTTTGGCAAATCAATCATCACGACTTGTCTTTCCATCTCAAAATCTCCAAAAAGTAATGTATCAAAAAATTCAAGAACCGCATCCATTACGTCGGGATCATGTTGGAGTTGGGAATCATATAATGGTAATAAGGATTCAAAAGATAAGCCGTCAAATGTAATTTTGAATCTAGCCTACCTTTCATCTTGTTGTTTATGATATCTATAATAGGCTTGTAAGCTTTCTCGTTTCCACCCAAAGCTTTCATAATTTCTTCTTTTGCTACTTTAAGCTCACCATAAACAAAACCCATTGAAGGCTTCCAATCCGCATCAACCATTCGAAGGACTTTCACCAAAGAGGAAAACACTTTTAAACATTGTGTCACACCGGACCAAAATTGGAGACTTGTCACCGTTCCATATGAGGCTCTTACTTTAGGGGTACCGGAAAATTTGCATTCCTCCCACTCGTTACTAGAGAACATATTTTTTAGTTGCTCCTTCTTTTCGGATAAACTTTGTAATGTTAGAAAGGCGGAAGCAAATCTCGTGACTCCCGGTCGGATAATTTCCCTTTTCTTAGTGTGGTTTCTCATCATTGCCAAGGTTTTGTGGTGAGCATAAATGAAGATGGTTAATTTCTTTGCTTGATGTAAGACTTTCTTAAACCTTGGAAGTCCACCGATACCTTGAAAAAAAATTACATAACAAATTAATGAATTACAATATAAAATAAAAGATGATAAAAACTAAATTGGTAAATAATGTAATAAAAAAATATAAATACCTTCGAGCATAAGGTTAATTGTGTGTGTCGCACATGATGTCCAAAAAATGGTTGAACTTTTCTCTTGTAGTAACTTTGCAGCTCCCATGTTATTCGTGGCGTTATCGGTCACAACTTGAACAACATGATCGAGACCAACTTGTTGAATGCAAGATTCCACATAATCATATATGTATTGGCTTGTATGTGCTTCATTGGAACATTCTTTTGATGATAAAAAACGGTACCCATTTTTGAATTTACACATAAATTCATAAATTCATCTGTCATGATTCAGCATCCAATCTCTTTCCATTCTTCTTTATTTTTTTTCAACAAGCTTTTTTTCTTTCAACCTCATGCTTTAGGAGTGGGTCACTCAAAGAATACCTGATAGGAGGTGGGACCCCTGTTCCAAATTGTCCAACAACCTCCAACATCATTTTGAAGCTATCATCTTCCAATGCATGAAAATGAATTGCAGTTTTATATGCCTATCTACTAATGAATTTATGACATGCTAAAAGTCTTTCTTTCCGAACAACATCGTTAAGATCAACTTTTTTTCCCTTTCCCTTCATAACTTCAGGGTTTATTTTGTTTGCATAGCCATCCATGGGTCCTATAATATTTGGTGCTTTCAACCCCAAAGAATCTTCTACTTCATCCATTTCAACACTATCATTTAACACTTGTGTTGCCTCTGCTCTTAAGGTCTCGTCATGTGCGTGTTTAGCTTTCTTTTTTCTTTTCCCTTCGTTGATAAAACTTCGCATTTTCAATTGATCATCTTTTGTAGAGTTTGTACATTGACTTATATTTCCCGTTACATGACCAATATGTTGTTTCAATCTAGTAACCCCCCTAGTAAACACTTTTCCACACAAGTTACATTTCACTGTATTCATCTTGTTTTTATCCAGGCAAAAACCATATTCCCAACCAATATCATATGAGTTCCGTTTATGAGCATCGGTGGCGGTTGATCCCACTGATGGTGAAGTCGAATTTTTAGATGTCATGATTGAACACTGTTATACATACCAGAAAACTACATCAGAAATATACAATATAAATCATAAATTTTCAGCAAACATCAAAATATCACAGCAAAAATATAAAGCTAATGTTTAGCTTTATTCTTGAAGAAGCACGTAGGCATCTTTGAGAATATATTTTCTTTCTTTGTATGTTAATGGAAACTCTATTCAGCATATCAATAGTTAGCATATTACTCCTTTGTTATCTGTCCAAATGATAGATTGTGATAACATTCCAACACAACACAAACCTTTTGCTAATATATTTATAATAAATTACTAAGAAAATAATTAAAAAAAATAAAAAAAAA